CCCTACTAACAAAAATTAATTATTTATTACTTAATAAGACTAAAGTAATTGTACAAGTATTTACAAGAAATAAGGTAAATAAGTATCATAATATTTTTAAAGGTAAAATGATGTCATTTTATTTAAAAAACAAGAGTAAAAAAACTCAAACAAACTCACAGATATATATTCATATAATATAACATAAATTTATAATCAAACTGGTGTATTTACATGTTTTACACTCACTATAAAGAAACCTATCATTCTATAGGTATTTGAAGAACTTGTAGCAGTCCGCCACAATTTTATCGTTTGTTACAGTATAAAAACTAAGTGTTCTCTAAATAACTGCACTCAAAGTATTTAAATTTTATGAGATACAAAGTTAGCTAAAGATAAAACATTTTTCAATAATTAGTTAAATACAACAGCCTACAAAAATAATTTTTTGATAATCAAGCTAATTATGTATAATCTTACTAAAATTAATGAAACTAAAATCAAAACTTACTGTGAAAAACTTTCTTTTTCTGGTGCAGTATTATCTGAGCTTTCACATGACATAGATGATACAGCTAATGATCTGTTTGGACTAGTTCTCACTCCAGTTTTACCTATGGAGTATCAAAATGTTTAACTTGTAAATAAACAATGTCAGTGTTCCTATAAAAGAACAAAGCTCGTTACTAAAAACATTTTACCTTATTGTTACAGCACAATTTTACTTAAAAAATAAGGAATTGCTTGTTTGTTTTTAAGCGTTATTTCTGTTGTGTTTACACCACTTAGATACATCTTAAGTATGCACAAGTTAGTGTAAGTCTTTATGAGATAGCTTATTTCTGAGTAAATAAGAAACATAGCTGAGAGAAACTAGAAGTAGTAGTTGGGATTATGATTATTTTGAGGTAATTAGACATATTAAAATTCCTAAAGAAAAATCAACTTCAAGTTGTTCTGTTGGATTATGGAACTCCAACAAGTTTTATTATGGTTTAATAATTGGTGAAATCTTCTAAAAAATATAACTTTGTGTTTTCCAATAAATCTAATTCAAAAACCAATGCTTAATAGTATTGTTTTCTAAGATCTTATTAAATTAATTGCCTTGTTAGCTAAGATAGACAATGCCAAATTTAATGGACTTTCTTCACTTTTAAATAAATGCTCAAGCTTATTCATATCCATCTCACCATATTCTCTTTATAGTTTACACTAACAGTTTTTAAAAATATTCGAACCAAAACATAATACAGAAAAACATGAAACAAACTACAACTCACCATTTGAAGTTGTTGATAAAGCTTGCCTCTGTTGAGCTACTGCAATTCCAACAGGTATGTTTGTGTTAACTAGTAAAAACAAAAAAGGACTATTCTACAAATAAATGTATTTTAAGATCATTAAACTACTTTACAGTATCCCTTTAAGCTATTATAATATGGATATTCTATTAAAAAAGAATTTTAATTTTTGCACTCTTAGTTGCATTAGTAAACATAACTTGATGATCTTTGATCCACAATTATAGGAACATAAGAAATATATAACCTTCATGCAAATAAACTCATCTAACAACAGGTTTTACTTTTTTTACATGTGGACTAATTCGTGTTAAACAGCTGAAAAGCTTTAATATATCACCTACTATGTTGTCTAAACTTTAAATGTTTTTTTTTCCTTTTTGTTTCTTCTTCTCCAAAAAAAAAATATTTCCATCGAAAAGTTACAAAGAAAAATTAGTTAAAGCCTAACATTTTTGGTTTAACACCTTCATCAATTATCAGTAGAATAAATAATACAGCATATTTTTTCTTCTTTTCTTTTATGGGTCTTCAAAATCATTATTGAAATAGTTGGTAACTCAAGGAGCAATGCAGTTTAATGATCACTTGTAATAGCAGGTGGTTTAATTTTTCCATTAAAATTTTACCCATAAATTAAATCAATTTATTTTAATGTTTCAACAGAAATTTAAAAGGTGTAGGAAATCTATTTATTAAAGGTTTCTAACACAACTGATTTAAAAAGTGTATACAGAATAATAGTACACAAAAAAACCATAACAAATATTACACATATAACTTTTTAACGAAAAATTAATTAATTATGTAGCTAGCTTACTCAAATAGTCACAGCTCAAGAGACAAGACTCCTTGTGGAAAATAAAATAAGTCTAATGCAATTAAATTTTGTATGCATGTTTTTTGTTTATTACAGTTTAAAAATCACAAAAATTAATAATGACCTGAAATGTCACTCTCAAGTTACTATATGATAAATAAGAAAAAATATATAAATTTCAGGGCGTGCAAATCAAACAGTTGTTGTTCATACACTTCATCCAGGGGTCTACATGTAAATATATTATTTAACTATTTAAATAAATTAGACAACCTACAGAAATCACTTGAAAATGTTTATTAAACTGATGTTTCAACCATCCTCCTGCAATTGCTTTAAAAAAAAAATATATACATATATATATATATTTAATTCTTTGACATGAATTGTCTCACATGCCCCCAGTGGCTCAGTGGTAAGTCAGAAGGCTTATAATGCTAAGCAACAGGTTTCAATATCCATAGATAGCCCATTCTGTAGCTTTCAGATTAACAATAAGCAAATGAGTTATCTCACTCGTTTAAAATATATATATTTCTTGTTGACCATAAAAATAAAAACAGCAGATCTTTGTTTTTTACTCAATGAAAATTAAAACACATGCAAATTATTGCAAAACTTAATTTGTGACACTTTTAGAATCAATCACATCACTAATTAAGAAAGTTACAAACTGGTAAGTCTTCTATTAAAAGTATATTTACAATCACTAAGTAATGTTTATTAATCTTAAGTCAACATCCAGTAGAAGAATGAACAAATTTATGCAAATTAACTCTCTCATCATTGTGTGGATTTTTAAAAGATATTCTTGACCAATAAGAAGATGATAAAGAAAGTCTCAAAACTCGTTATGAACTAAAAACATGTATTGGAATTTCAGTTACATGAAAAACCCAAAAAATAGATAAATAAATTTAAGTTAAAAGTGGAAGTGATTCTCACCTGTGGAGGGAAAGGTTAAAGTTGCAGAACTTGGTTGGCATGAGCTAACAACAGAAGGGATAACACCAGTAGGGGACGAAGCTAGAGTTACAGCCACTGAGTGATGAAGTCTTGTTGAAAAAGCTGGATTGTGATTCGGAACACTAGCAGTAGTTGTTGTGACAACAAATGTTTCTGATCTTTTGGAAACATGTACATTTTTTTGGCTTGACATGCCAGTTTGGCTGGATAACACTGACTGGGCAGTACAACACACTGGTGAATGAGAGGGAGTCATACATGTTGTCACCAGTGAGAAGGCTGAAGCAGCATCTGGGTTATTTTTCAACTGAAGTCTGACTGATACGATAGATTGTTGGGGCTTTTCACCAGACTTTGGTCTATCTGCATCACTACTAGATGAAATAAAGTTTGACTGAACTTTTTCTGGGGAAGGGTTCATCTTTGGCATGGATTCTGAAGATAACTGACAAGGTAAGGCAAAATCTAAAGGTTCTTGTTTAGGGACTCGACGTGGTATGCTTAAGTTGATGACACCATGGTTTTCTTCAGCCATGTCATTTCTAGGTATGCTCAAACCCTGCCAATGAGGGTATACAAAGGTGTTGCATGCGTTACTTACTGAGCAATGGTTCTCTAAATCTATTCTCTCCTGTTTTATGTGAACTCCAGTTGGCAAGAGAGGTGCAGGAGTTATGTGGTTCTTTTGGTGACTTGTTACCTCACATAAAGGTGAATTATTAATTCTCAAAGAAGCTGAAGTAACAGAGCAGGCCATAGATAAAGGTTCCATTGGATAGCTGTTTTTGCTTACTTCAGTAGTAGTTAGAGAAGTATGGACTTTACTTGGAGGGCTTTTCAGATTAGATGGTGAACTACTCGGTCTATTCTTATCCTCACAGGCTTTTGGATGGACTTTCTGAACTGCTTTACAAGACTGATCTGTTAAATCTGTTGTCCCAACTACCTGATTGTTTTGTAAATTCAATCTGTCACTTTTATGATATGGACTGTTTTGTGAGTCTACAATCTGTGATACGCAACTTTGGCCTTTATGTAAAAGGTCAGTAACCTTAAGTTTGTCTTGCATTTGTGAAATCCTAAAATTCTCAGCAGGCACTGAAGAAGGTAAAGAGAGAGAAGTTGTGACTTGTGGAACAGTGGTCAGATGACACAATGATGATACAGCTGGAATAATATTAAGAAAATATCTTAAAATTAAATTTTAAAAATACTGTGAAAACAGCCCAAACTCTTTGTATTCTAACATCCCATTTTTCAACAAGCTCTAACTTTTCATATCGTATTATATGTTAGGTTAACAAAGTTAATTATTCACACTAAATATACAGATATCATATCCACATAACTTAAAAACTTATGTAAAAAGATAGCATTCCTACAGATAAATAAAAATAAAAATTATTAACAAAGTCTAAGAAATAAAAACAGCTTTAATACAAAATAAAGAAATTTTGAAATTATGTCATCAAAGAGTAGAGTAGCTTGAATAGGTTTCATACATTCTTCTTCAAATCAGAAACAGTTTATTTCAATAGATTTAAGTTTAGAGATTCTTGAAAGAAGATATTGAATGTCTGTTACTGAAACAAGTATATGGGAACTCAACCCGATTTTTGAAAGAAGCTAATAAATTATTCTATTGTAAAAAATATGGGGAAATTCAACTCAGTTCTTGAAAGAAGTTGTTGAATGATCATTATTGTAATAAGTTTGAGGAGAATTAAACCTTATTCTTGAAAGAAGTTGTTAAATTAATGTTACTGTAACAAATATGGGGAGGGGGGTGAGCAATTCAACCTGATTATTCAAAGAAACTGTTAAATCATTGATACTGTAACAATTATGAAAGGGAAAGAAGCTATTAAAGTATTATTATTCTAACAAATATGGGGGGGGGGTGAGTAATTCAACCTGATTCTTGAAATAGCTGTTAATTCATTGTTACTGTAAGAAGTATGAAAGGGGAAGAAGCTATTAAAATATTGTTACTGTAACAAGTATGAAGGGGAACAATTGAATCAACTGCTAGATAACAGGACAGCTAATTAATAATAAAACCTTTATTCAGTCAATCTATGTTTTATTATTAATAGTACTTTACCAAGTAATAATGTTTCATTTACGTTTTCCACATGTGCATCAAGAAACACACACACACACACACAGCCACTAGTTATTATAGTTTTTTTTGAAATCATAAGTGAGATTTAACTGAATGTAATAAGCTAACTTACCAGTATTATTACATCCTAGACCTGGTGATGTATTTGATGAAACAGCCAGTGAAGGTGTCAAACACTGTTCAGTAAAAGTAACTGTTGTAGTTGCCACAGTGTCACTTGATGTGGCCACAGCTGTAGTTACAGATGAACAGGAAATTGTTTTCTGTGGAACAGGGGCAGAATTTTCCTTAGGTTCCCGGTTATTTGTACCCTTCACTTTACCTGTTTTGGCTACACAGTGAGGGTTGTTGATAATTTCTATATTATCAGCTAAACTTGCTGAGCATTGTGCACATTTTTTTTCTTTGTGGATTTTGTCAGCTTCACCGTTTGAGGTTACACTCCGAGGTTTGTTGGGTTTAGTTCTTCTAGCTTGTAGTAAGCTACCATTTGTTAGCCTGCCATCTAAATGATGTGTTTCAAAGTCTGGGCGTTGCTGTTTTTTTTCTCTGTGTTTTTCTTCACGATGTTTATTTCTGCTTTCTGTAAACTTTTCACGCAACCCAAGACTAATGGATGAATCTGACTGCTTTTCGACAGCTCTTACAGGAGGTTCCACAGTACTGCAGGCAAGTCTGGTTCGATCAGCATTGTGATGACAACTGATACTTGATGTTTCGTGCTTCAGAATCCTTTCAAAGTCTTCCACTCCACGTTCAACCCTTTGAAACTCTTTTTCTTCTACCAACAGAGGGCGCCTCCCAACATCCATTCCTAGACCTAAGTGACTGTATCCTGGATGACGATCAAGAGTTGGTGTTAGGGAAGGCACAGGTGCCGTGTGACCTACATGACTGGGCATTGTAAAAGATGAAGCCAGTGCTAAACCTGGGGGCAAATATGTGGGTTCTGTAAAATAAAATCTATTTTTACCAAAAGGATGCAATACTATTAAAAGTTTGCGTATAAACTCCAGAAAATATTTAATGTCCCCCCCCCTCCCTAACTGAACTACTAGACCAGTTTCCACTTCTCTAGAAAATATGCTAATTATTGACTTTACTTTTATTTTTCCAGGACTTTAACTAAATGTCACTTAAATATATGAAACATACTAAAATTTTATTGAGTTGTATTAAATGATGATGGTAATGTAAGGTGGCTTATGACATTAAAAGGCAACAATGAGTAAATAACTTGGATTGTAATATATTACATCTTTTATTAACTGGAAGAAACAAAAACATTAACTTATCAACCGAAACAAATTATAAAATGAGAGAAATATTACAAAAAAAATGAAGAACAAAAAACAGAAAATGATTCATAATGTAATCAGAAATAAGCAACAGAAACATAAGCAACATGAAATAAATTCATGAAACATGAAAGGGGGGGGGGAGAAAAAAAAATATGACAAAACTAAAAAGAAGTGACCTTTATGTGCTGCTTCCAAAAGAGAACTATAGGGTGCAGGTGACTGTCCCAACCGAGAAATATAACCTTGACTGGAGTATGGATTAGAATCTGTAGAGGGGACCAACGGAGGAAACATTGTGTAGAGATTACTACTCATGCCATATCTGTTGTAACCTATAAAAAATACAGAATGTGTTTACTTTAGTAACTAAGACATAACATAAATCATCACTTTATATATTTTTATATCTAATAATAGATGAAAAACTTTCAAAATGTACTTTTGTGCCTAACTGACAATTTATTCTATTCCCTACTTCTGTAGTCTGTGCTCTGAAACAACATTTTATGTTAGCTAAAATTTTTAAAAAAAAGCATTATTTTTTTTTCACCATGAAAGTATACTGAATAGGGTAACTATAAGAAACTTACTCATCTCCCAGCTTACAGACTTTAAATACTTATTACACTTTTTAGAATGTTTTATAAGTACTCTGAATATCTGTACCCTTAAACTGTGGAGTAACTTATGAAAATATTTTTTAAACATTTTAAATCATATCTTCAACAACATTGTCAGAACCACACACGAGTATATAGAATACAAGTACACTCACTATCTGGTGGTGGTGTAGGAGGCCAAAATTGCCTCATTATTATTCCTGTTGGTGGCACTCTAAATGGAGAGTTGGACTGAGCATGAAAATTACTGCTGTACATCCCACTCAGGTAAGAATAACTGGTCCCTAAAGAAACAACAACAGCAAAATATAACAAATAGCTAATTACTTTTACATATATATATATATATAATACACACACATATATATAAATACAGATTTAACCAAGCACAATCTAAAACATAAATCAGCAATTTCCAGTACACCATTTCCACAAGTTGACTTCCTAGAATCGGTTTAACCATACTCAACATGTGAACAGCATTATTCTAATCTTCCACTTCAATGAAAATAACACTGGAGCATTTTAGTCCCAGGTCATATTTGGCTTTTTCAAACTAGGACTCATTTAATGATAGGTTTGTAACAATGTCTTGATAAATTGGGTTTAGCCATACATGTAATATTTCAAAAGTTAATCATGCTGACTGCTATACTTGTGTATCAGAGGTAAAATTCCAGCTGTCCACGATATAGGCAGATACATTAATCCTTTGTGACAAATTGACGACGACCCTTATTACAAAAACAAAAGGCTTTCACATGCAAACGAACTTATGAACACTTTCTTTAACTCTATACAAAACTAATGATATAGAACTGTAACTAGATAGAAAAAATATTATATAGAAGCTTTACCTATGACACATGTCTGGAGAAAAAGCTAAATGTTAAAGGCTTGACAAAAATATTTTTTATCTTTAATAAGACATGGATTTATTCATTCATTCATTAACAATATTAATGCTATAATGATGCTTTTATAGTGCTAGTTGTTTCTTCATCTTGTGGTTCAAAAGTATTTTTATTATCTGAAAGAGTTAAGTCAAGATGGCTAGCTGCAGATCTTTGTTTTATGCACAAATTTAAACAATGAGCTGTTTGTGCTGTGTCTTCAAGGGTGTTGAATCCTAGATTTTAACCTTATAAGCCTTCATCAAGGTTACTGCTGAGCCACTGGGGGACAAATGCAGATGAGAAGAGTTGCTTCAAATGTCAAGTTCATAAATTATTACCTGAAGAATGTATCAAATTAAATGTTTTATTGCTAAATTTTTTTGTTTCTTCGTGCAATAATAATGTACAACAGAGGGGTGAACTGCATGATAATGCCTGAATTCACAAATACCCGTGTTTTTGTGTTGTATAAAAAACAAACAGGGCAACAAGTAATCCACTTTGAAAATTCCACTCAATAAACCACAGAGTCTCAGTAAAATCTAGTTTCATTGCTTCGGATATTCATGAAAAGCTACACAAAGGTTATCTTTGCTAGCTGTCCCTAATTTTGAACTAGTAGACTAGAGGGAAGGCAGCTAGGCAACAGCATCCATTGCCAATTTTTGAATTACTCTGAATAATGGGATTTGACAACAGGATGTGAACCATAGATCCTTGAACCCTCCTTAGTCCAGCATGCTAACCATTTGGCCATGTCTGCCCCAATTATTTCTAAGGGCAACAATAATCTAACACTGAAAAAACGATACATGTTAATGTATTTTCAGTATTTTGTATGTAGTGGTCAATTTCTTGTGCCAAAATGGCAATTGAATATAATAAACTTCTCTAATTAATTTCAGCCCTTGAATTATACATGCTGCATTTCAAACATTTAATTTCGTTATAATTACTATCCACTCGTCAATTAGGGTTATGTAATCAACTGCCATACGCGAGTCATAAAAATACAAAGGCTATATTATGTGTAGTTTATACAACACATTCACATCATAAAAATACAACTGACATATTATCTATAGGTTATATAACATATTCACATCATAAAAATACCTAATATTAAACTATGCGAGATCATTCTCAAACACTCAACATGGAACTTAAGGAAGAAAATCAATGCGAAATACAACCACACTGAAACAAGTATACCAATTTGTTTCTCTACTATATTTTAAAGCACTTTAACCTATATGTATTATCCATATTGTACTTCTTCTGTTTTTTATTTGCTAATTTTTTGTCGTATTTTAAAATTCTTTATTCACTCGGCATAAGTTCGAGCCCGAGACCTATCGCACACCAGGCGAGTGTTCTACTATCAGTTGAACCGACATCGCTTAAGAGTAAAATCGTCTTGTTGCTTTTATTTAAACTGCCTATTCACAGGAACAGCGTTTCTCAACTTCTGCGATACCGGGGACTGGCTCGCTGCTTCCCTAAACTGTCGCAGACCGTTAAAATATACGAATTCTGTTTGTTTGTTTTCGTGAAACACCACGAACCAGCAAGGTGATTGTGACAAACCGGCGCCAGACCGAGGATCTGTGGCTGAGAAAACACTGCACGAGATTACTAATGCCGTTTGGTGTTCGTATGTTAGATTACAGTGATATGTCACTGTTAAGGTGTTTATCCTAGAATAATTCAACCTATTAAGTTGACACACAATGTACGAGTACAAGTAGAAATTATGTAAGTTTGTTTGTATGTTTTGTTTTAGCACAAAATCACACAATGGACTATCTGTTCCGTACTGTCAGCTACGGGATTTGAATGAATTTTGGTGTTATGAGACCTAAAGGTTATCGCTGAGCCACCGAAGGTCACGTCATTATGCGGAGTAAATAAATTTGCTAACAATAACTCCACCAAACATTTAGTATATGATGATACAATCATACACAGACAGACAAGGCTTCAGTTCTATGGTGCATTATATTTAACAATGGAACTGGCGAACGATTTTACACGTCACAAATGACAAATGCAGCTACAGTATGAAAAAAGGGGAGGGGGATGTTGTCAATGTTTTGGCTTAATGATGTTCATAGAACCTTGTTTCTTTTAGACTGAAAAAACAACAAAACTTTTTTTCCTGAGTATCAAATTTATGATAAGATGAATAAGGCACATTATTACAACCAGAAATATTGTTAACAGTGCTTAACACATGGAATAATCTGTCATTTCTCTGAGAAGAATTGGTTTCAATATCCAATACACTGAGAACTTTGTTTAAACATTTGACTTTTTATTGTACAATTTTTAAACAGTACAATCTGTTTTATAAAAGAAATAACGTTAGAGTAGACCTCTACATAGGCTTAGGTGGGTAGTACAATCGATTTTATGGGCTATGATTTCCCATTTCATTCTTACATCTTTCGTTGATGTGGATGATGTGAAATACAGTAATTCCAGCGGTGAGCAGTCTAGGGGGGGTCAAGTTTTCTGCATGTTAACGATAGCTCTTTGTGCGCTGTTCAAATTGAGCTGCCAAGGAAAAGTCAAGTCAAAAACAAACGTCGGTACCGGCTTCCAAAACGAACCGGTACTGAAGAACTCGGTATTTCATCCCCGAATACATAACTTATAACTTTTTTCAACCTCGTACGTATCATTCTTTCACTAACGATGCAATATCATTCCTCAATTAACCTTGCCAATAATATTTATTCCTAATAAAGAAACGCATTGTTTTATCATTACGCGAGAGAGCCCAAAAATAACGACGAATGAAACAGAATAGTTGGAGAAGACGATAGCCTAACAAAACTATCGTTTTACTCTCAAAGCTTTTGTTTTGCTCTCGCATTTACTTCCTGACAAGCATTTTTTTTTTCATTAAAAATATATCAAAAACAGGTAAGAAAATGTTAATTTTGATGTTGTCACTTGCGAAAAGTATTTTAATATGAAGGCGCAACGAAAACTTAACTGAGTTAAGGGGGTGCCTCTATTTAAAGTTTGGAAAACACTGACGTAAAGGATGTCATCAATAATTAGATAACTCCGGTATATAAGACAACTAAATGAAATAAACCATTTTAAACGAGATACAAAATTGCGGAAATGTTCAATATAAGAAATGGGTCAGAAATCCAATAAATAAAGTACTAAATAGACAAACTAATTAACATATGTTAGTTTGCATATATAACGCTATTACCAGTAACATATAACCGGAACTGCGCACATGACAAAGAATTTGTTTCCCGCAGTAAAGCATGTGAATGGTGGTTTTAATCATATTGTGGCTCAGTCTATACGAACGTTATGAAATCGGTTTCTGGGGGGTAAGCTGAGAATGCGACAACCAGGATTTAACACAAAAAAAACTTTTATCTTTCTGAAAATAAACTACTGGATACACTTACAATTTAACTGTTCGTAAATATTTCAGAAAACACTCCAGATTTATATCACCTATTTGTAAAAATAAATATTCCGTTTTACTTAGCCTTTGCTTCCAATCCACCCTTTCATTTTTACTTGTGGTGAAAAGTGATTAGACATCACACTAAATCTTCATTTCTTCTCCAATGATGTCGGATAAATGTATTTAAAAATACCCACTGAAAGTTATTGTTTTATATATCTATGTGAAGCTCATTTCGGACAACGATTGATAAAACGAAATAATACCTAGAGATGTTAATACTTCATTGGACTTTTTATGTCTAAGCCCGTTCGAGCCGGAAACTTATGTTAACGTCTGGTATACAAATCTAAGCATAAATACTTTATCAAAAGAATAATATATATATATATATATATATATATACCTTTTCGGTTCTTATAATCTTCAACATGATTTACCGCACTTTTACTATTATTCTGTCATGTTTCAATAAATTTTAAATTTACCCTCAGAACTATTAAACCGAAGTGAAATAACAACAACCGATGACGGCTTTTTTTTTTTTGGTGTTGTTGTTTTTGTGTAAAATCCTGCAGTCACTGCCCCCTTTACCTCGCCACGCCCACCTGTTGGAAAGATCCGCCAGCTATCACATGCCCACAAATGCTTGCGCTAAGGTAAGAACAAGTTTTGCATACAAAATACCCTGGCAATGTGTCAGAGGTTACCTCGCTCGTTATTTGGTCATTCCCCTACCGCTAGGGGGCAAGTCACAGCCATAAAAATGTAATTATTCCAATTATCGCTGGGGGCAAAAAACAGAATTGAGTCGTGGAAAAGGAAGTTTTGCTTCGTGTGATATTTCCGGTACTATACTAATAAAAGCAATACTACTATTTCGTTTCTTTCGGTTGGGGAAAAATTCTATAGCTACCTGGAATTTTCTGCCTCCGTAGAAAACTAA